TTGGCTCAGCTCCAGAGCACTTTTCTGTGGAGATTATTTTTCATGATGTCTGGTAGGGTTTCTTCCAACATTGTTTCTTTCTTTTAAATAAGTTTTTATTTATGTCTTTTGTTTTTTACATCATCATTGTTTTCCCCAGTATCTCTCCCTCTTCTCCCACAGGGCTGTTTCATATAATAAATATTATTTTTTAAAAAGATAAAGAAGAGGAAAAAAATCAGCACAACTGATCAATACAACAAAAAAGTTTGAAAACACATGTAACCTCTGTGGATCTCCCACTTCTACAAATGGATTGAAGGGTCATATCTTTTCTTTTGAGTCATGCTTGATCTTTATAATTTTGCTATTTTGACTTTTGTTTTTGGTGAGGCAGTTGGGATTAAGTGACTTGCCCAGAGTCAAACAGCTAGTGAGTGTTACATGTCTGAGGCCGGATTTGAACTCAGGTCCTCCTGACTCCAGGGCCGGTGCTGTAGCTGTAGCAGGGGCCTAGCTGCCCCTTGCTATGTTGACTTTTGATTTTGTATGTATTGTTTTTCTTTCTGTTGTCATACTTATTTTGTATACTGTTTTCTTGGCACTGCTTGCTTCATTCTGCATCAGTTCATATAGACATTTTTATGCTTCTCGGTATTCATCATATCATCATTTCTTTTTTTCTCTTTTATTTAAATATTCATTTTTAGTTTTCAACATTCACTTCCACAAGATTTTGAGTTCCAAATTTTTTCCCCATCTCTCCCCACCCCAAGACAGCGTGCATTCTGAATACCACTTCCCCTAATCTACCCTCCCTTCTATCACCCTCTCCCCCTTCTCTTATCCCCTTCCCCTTCTATTTTCCTGTAGGGCAGGATAGATTTCTATACCCCATTGCCTGTATATCTTATTTCCCAGTTGCATATAAAAACAATTTTTAACATTTGTTTTTAAAACTTTGGGTTCCAAAATCTCTCCCTTCTTCCCTCCACACCCACCCTCATTGAGAAGCTAAGCAACTCAATACAGGTTATACTTGTGTAATCATGCAAAACACTTCCACAGTAGTCATGTTGTGAAAAACTAACTATATTTCCCTTCATCCTATCCCACCCCCCATCTATTCTGTTTTCTCTTTTGACCCTGTCTCTTCGTAGAAGTGTTTGCTTCTGATTACCTCCTCCCCCGATCTGCCCTCTCTTCTATCATTCCCCCCCTTCTCTTATCCCCTTTCTTCCTATTTTCCTGTAGGGTAAGATAGATTTCGATACCCAATTGAGTGTGTATGTTACTACCTCCTTAAGCCAAATCCAATGAGAATAAGATTCACTCATTCCCTCTCACCTTCCCCCACTTCCCCTCCAGTGTAAAAGCTTTTTCTTCTGTTTTATGTGAGATAATTTACCCCATTCTACCTCACCTTTTCTTCTTCTCCCAGTATAATCCTCTCTCACCCTTTAATTTTATTTTTTAGATGTCATCCCTTCATCTTCAACTCACCCTGTGCCCTCTATCTACCTATCTATATATACATATATTTTTTCTCCCTCCAACTACTTAATACTGACAAAGGTTTCATTAATTATGAATATCATCTTTCCATGTAGAAATGTAAATAGTTCAACTTTAATAAGTCCCTTATGATTTCTCTTTCCTTTTTACCTTTTCATGCTTCTCTGGAGTCTTGTATTTGAAAGTCAATTTTCTATTCAGCTCTGGTCTTTTCATTAAGAATGCTTGAAAGTCCTCTATTTCACTAAATATCCATTTTCCACATGAAGAATTATACTCAGTTTTGCTGGGTAGGTGATTCTTGGTTGTAATCCTATCTCCTTTGCCCTCCAGAATATCATATTCCAAGCCCTCTGGTCCCTTAATGTAGAAGCTGCTAAATTTTGTGTTATCCTGAGTGTGTTTCCTCAATACTTGAATTGTTTCTTTCTGGCTGCTTGCAATATTTTCTCCTTGACCTGGGAACTCTGGAATTTGGCTATAATATTCCTAAGAGTTTTCCTTTGGGGGGATCTCTTTTAGGAGGTGATTGGTGTATTCTTTCCATTTCTGTTTTACCCTCTGGTTCTAGAATATCAGCAGTTTTCCTTGATAGTTTCTTGATAGATGATGTCTAGACTCTTTTTTTGATCATGGCTTTCAGACAGTCCAATAATTTTTAAATTCTCTCTCCTGGATCTATTTTCCAGGTCAGTTGTTTTTCCAATGAGATATTTCACATTGTCTCCTATTTTTTCATTCTTTTGGATTTGTTTTACAATGTCTTGATTTTTCATAAAGTCACTAGCTTCCATGTGCTCCATTCTAATTTTTAAGGAAGTATTTTCTTCAGTAATCTTTTGGACTTCCTTTTCCATTTGGTCAGTTCTGCTTTTGAAGGCACTCTTCTCCTCATTGACTTTTTGGACCTCTTTTTCCATTTGGGTTAGTCTGTTTTTTAATATATTGTTTTTTTCAGTATTTTTTGGGTCTCCTTTAGCAAGCTGTTGACTTGTTTTTCATGATTTTCTTGCATCTCTATCATTTCTCTTCCCATTTTTCCTCTACTTCTCTTACTTGCTTCTCAAAATTCTTGTTGAACTCTTCCATGGCCTGGGCCTGATTCATGTTTTTCTTGGAGGCTTTGGATGCAGGAACTTTGACTTTGTTGTCTCCTTCTGGTTGTATGTTTTGACCTTATTTGTCACCAAAGTAAGATTCTATGGTCTTGACTTTTTTTGCACTGTTTGCTCATGATCCCAGCCAATTGCTTGACTATTGAACTCTTTGTTAAGGTAGGGGTCAACTTCCAATGTGGAGAATGTATTGTCCCAAGCTTCAGGGGTTTTGTGCAGCTGTTTTCAAAGGTACTTCTAGGGACCTGTAAATTTTCAGTTCTTCCAGGGGGGTATGATCAAGGGTGAGGTATTTACTCCTTTCTTGGCCTGGGCTGTGGTCTGTGAGTGACCACAAGCACTCTTTTCTGCCTTGGAACTGTGAGGGGGATTCCCTCTCTACCACCACCAACAGCTGTACCACCCTAATGCTCCTCCTTGCCCCAGGACCACCCCCAGATCCAAGCAGGGGCAAATCAAGAGAATTCTTCCTTGGTGCCAGCAAAGACATCCCTGCAATCCCCCTCTGATCAGCTGCTTATCCCCCCTCTGTCTGTGGGCCAAGAGCTCTGGAAGCAGCTGCTGTGCTGGGGCTGTGCCAGGCCTGGGGCTGGACTGAGCTCCTCTCTCGCTGAGGTCTGACAGACCTTTCCTACTGACCTTCTAAGTTGTCTTTGGCGATTGTGGGCTTAGAAGGTCTGGGAACTGCTATAGCTCTCCTTGATTCAGTCCTCTGTGCCTGCTCCAGGATTGCTGAGGCCCGGTCTTTGCCTGTGGGATCCGTGTTGAATTGTGCTTCTCTCCCAGCCTGGTGCATCAGACCTTTCCTGCCAACCTTTGAGGTTGTCTTGGGCTGGAATTTGATTCACTCTCTCTTTTTGTGGGTTCTGCTGCTCTAGAATTTGTTTAGAGCCATTTTTTACAGGTATTTGGAGGGGTTTGGGGGAGAGCTCAAGCAAGTTACTGCTTTTTCTCATCATTTCTTATAGTACAGTAATATTCTATTACATTTGTGTGCCACAACTTGTTTAACCATTTCCCAATTGACAGGCATCTACTTTGTCTCCCATTCTTAGCTCTTACAAAAAATGCTGCTATCAATATTTTGGTGCATATGAAGACTTTCTTATCAGTGGATTGCTTGGGGTATAGCCCAATAATAGCTATTGTTTTTTGAATGACTCCATCTCACTTTTGTGATCTCCTTCTCCACAAATGAAGACCTTAGGTATCCCTAAGATTTCATATCCCTGAGGAGAGCCAGGATCAAGACTTACTCTGTTGCTTCTGTCCTGGAGGAATGTAAATTGTATAGATCACCATCTTTCCCTGTTCTCCTGCATATAATTGTGACTCATTGCCATCTGGGTAGTCTTGCCATAGGTTCATGGAGGCATTTCCTTGGAGAAATAGAACTTAGGAATGTCTGGAAGTAATAGCAGGAAGCAGTTTAGGACTGTATCCATCTATGTCTAATGTAATTTTTCACCTGCTTCCATCTTTTCTTCTTTCCTTATTAAATATACTCTTCCTTATGTTGCCTTTTGGATGACCCCATCCCGCTTATTTCATGGCAGGGTTCCATGAGGGAAAGTGATGGGGTTCCAGTAGTTTGTGAAGGAATTAAAGAACCTTCTAAACTAAATTTCTAGCCAGTAGAATGTGCTAGAAATACATCTGACGTAATTGATTTGTATACATAAAATATAAGCTGCTTAAGAAAAAAAAGAAGTATCTGACTTAATATGTGTCAATGAACATTATCTTCTTATAAAATAATGAAGAATGCTAAGAAAAAAGTATATTTGAAAAAATTCCTCTGGGTTAAATCTGGGATTGGATTTGCTTTCCTTTTATTCCCAGGTCTCTGGTAATCAAGATCCGCTCTTGTGCACATGAATGCTTGTCACATTTTCAGTCAGCTCTTTATTTTTTCGGAGTAGGCCTTTTAGCAATTGAGAATATGTGCTTCACAAATAAAAAGGGAAACAAAAGGTCATAAAAACATTTGGAAGTTGATATCAGGATTGTTGTTATGCAGTTTAATATTTGCCACATATGCACTTGCCATTAAGGGGTCACTAGTCTGTGTTATTCATAAATAATAACTATGGACTAATTTATATAGTACTTAATACCAACATAAGGCGGTACACATAACTCCCTTTGTGCAGTTAGCTATTTTGTACGCAGTGACTATAGTTGATCATCTTGAATGCAGTAGAACGTAAGGTGAAGTGTACCCTGGGTGTTTCCCAGACAGAACTGGTCCCTTGCCTATTCCCCTCCTCCTTGCCTTTGAACCCTTGGGTATTATGTGTAGCAGATGAAGCCTGGCACAGCTCCCCAGTGGATCTCCTTTGTACAGGGATATGGCCCCTTCTGACTAACTTTGGGATTGTATTTTGTTAGGTTGGACCTCAACACACATGGTTTCACAACTCAGGAACTCAAGAGTGCTCTTGAAAAATTCAAGGAGGGAGCATGGGGTGAAAAGGAAGATAAGGTATGTGTTTTCTCCACACATTCCATTGTTGCTCATTCTGATTTTGTTTTGGAAACAGGGTTCTCATGATTCTTCCCAAGCCTTTGTAATTTCCATGGGTTGCAACTACCACCACTGCTCCTGCCCCCATCACTAACAAAAGCAACAACAATAAGAAATGAGTCAGTGTGTCCTTGTGAATAGGCGATTGGCCTCACATTGGCATTGTGGATAAGTCACTTGACCTCTCAGTGTCCTGGACAATTCTCTAAGGTGGACTTCTTATTGAGAGCTTCTGAATTTCCACATGGTAGCAGTAACCTCAGAAGGCCAGTCATGCAGCTGGTAAGGGAAACAGGCTGTCAGTACTGAGAAAGGACGCAGAAGACCCTGAGGACCTGCAGCTTGATCCCAAGCCAAAGGCCTGGGCTTGATCATGCACTTCAGACTCCCTCCCCCCTCCATACATTCACTCCCTCACATTTGAGAAGATGAATGAATTACACCTGATTTAGGCCTGTCATATAAATCAAGAACTTGTCCATCTACATCCTTTCCAGTATCCAAATATCTTCTTCCTTGGGAATGGCTTCTCCCTTGCCTACTTCATATATTCCACTCATGACTGGGAGGTTTTAGTATTTATCAAGAAGTTTAAATTTTTTTTTAAAAGTCTTAGAACATTTTTGTTGCTGTTTTCCCAATTGAAGATGACTTCGTTAAAAATAAGATCTGCTCCACTTGGTTTCTTTTCACCATTTTATTTCATCTGACCAGGTGTTTCCAGGTTTGTGCTGAGCAAAGTCTCATTTCTCTTTTTCTTAAGCATTGAACATCAGAATTTGTCTGCTTTGGCTCTGAGAGTGAGAAAACAGTGATCTCTATTGGGGATAGATTATGCTGCCTGTTCCCAGGATTCTTATGGCATCAGGATTTGAACTCTAATCTTTTATTTTCACTTTCTCAGAACTGGTGCATAGAACCATAAAACTTTATGTCTTAGAGAACAGTCTGTTACTTTACAGAAAATGAGGTGCAGAAGGGGCAAGAGAGAGCATTTATTAAGTGCTTGCTATGTGCTATCCCTTGTGCTAAGTACTTTGCAAATTTATCTCTCTTTATCTCACAACCCTGGGAAGTAGGTACTATTATTACCTGTATTTGACAGATGAATCTGAGGCAGACAGAACTTAAATTACTTATCCAGGGTCACACAACTAGTAAGTATAGGAGGCTGGATTTGAACTCAGGTCTTCTTAATTCCAGGCCCAATGCATGCTTTAATCTGCTATGCTATCTAGCTGACTCAGAAAGAGGAAGTGATTTATCCAAAGTCACATAGCTAATTAACTAAATGGGTTGAGTGGGTTATAGAACCTTTTCCTTATTCCAGTGTAAAGAGTTTTGGAGCATCTGTGGTCAAATACAAATTTGTATTTGCCATTAACTGTGATGATGTTAACATCTTGCCAAAAGAGGAGGTTACTTCTGATTATGATTTTGAGAAGTCATGAACTTCATTTCATTCTGCAGAATTTTAATATGCTGAAAGAATTATCCTTCCCCTTTCAAAGATTCTCACTTCCCAGGAGGATTCTGGATTGTTAATATTAAGTCTCATCTTTTATACTCTTAATACTTTTGTCTCTGTTATTTGTTTGGCTTTATGTTTTGGGAGTATTTTATCGTTGTTAGCTGTTTTTTCCCCCCAAGGGAGTTGATTTCTGTCACGAGGACCTTAGTTTTTAAAGCTAAGCAGTTGCAGCTCATGGCTTGGCATATGACCCAGGAGAGGTGTCCAATTCCCTATCCAACCTGTCCACCTGTGACTCAGCATTGTTACCGACAATTCTTAGGGCTGGATGCTATGACAGTATCTCCATTTTTGGGCTCAGGGAAGAAAAAATACGGAGCGCTGCAGAGTCATTTTCTTTGCAAAGAGCATGGTTATTTTTTCAATTGGGCTCTTTCATTTCTTTTGGATGCTGCTCCCAGAAGGTGCTTGTAGTGGGTGGGAGAAAAGCTCATAGTTAAGACATGAGCATTTTGTAGCTGATTGCTTCTCATCATCCTGATTTGCTAAATATCTAAGGCTCTTAATTTTTCTTGGATCATAGACACCCTATTATTTGAGACAAAACCTCCTGTGTCCTTTCAGAGTTTGTGAATGCTATCTTCTGCAATTGGAATGGAATTGGAATGAAAAATAGGAACTATCAGAAGTTTGAAATATTCAATTAAAAGCCTTTTCCCACATAACAGCATAATTTGATCTCAGAAACATTTTGTGTGCATATATGGGGAAAGGTGAGTGTAGATTATTAGGGATTTGGGTACAGTACATGCAGTAATTTAGCCATTTCAAACAGTCATACAAATTGTACACCTGTGACAGTAATGACAGTGATTTATTTTTCATCAGTAAATTGTTCCCACTCTTGACAGCTCTCTCTGCCCACAGTTTTTTTTCTTTCCCAGGCTCCCCTAAAAACTTCTTGTGTCAGATGGGTACACAGCTATGGGGCAGACATTGAAGTTCAGGCTTTCTGACCATTGGCATCCCAGAAGTCTTGGGAAGAGCCCAGTGTGCTAATCCCAGATCTGATGAACCATTTACACTTAGAAATCATACGCTGGCAGCTGCAGGAATGGGATGGTTCCATTCTCTGCCCCAGAGGACTTACATAAGGACATTGTTGCTACTTTTTGAGCCTACAAATCAGAGGCCCTTTTTTGAAGTTCTTCCAAATATATTATAAGTGTCTGACTATATGGAGGTTGATTCCTGGGGTCCTCTTGTCTGGACATAGTGGAAAGATTTAGAGTTTTAGAAAGTGTAGAATCAAGCAGGTCCTGAACCTCGTGGGCATCAAGGGTTGTTGTGAAGGAAATACTTGACAAGATAATTTATACCTTTTAAAAAATGCCACATCTGTTTCCAAATATATCCTCCCTTCTCCTACCAAGAGAACCATCCCTTGTAACAGATCAAAAAAGAAAGTGGAAAAAAAGCAGTTTGGCAAATTTAACCAACATAGTGATTGTAGCAAACAGTATATGTAGTATTCCATGCCTGTTGTCCCCCACCCTGCAATGAAGGAGGCAAGGTTCATTTTCTTAACTCTTCTCCAGGGCCAAGCTTGGTCATTTTACTTACCTAGCATTTACTTTTCACTTTTATCTAAGCAAGTACTTTCTTAACTGCTAGTATTAAAGCTTCAGGAACTTTCAAATACATACCCTTTGACTCCCATTGTCTTTTACAGTTTTACCCCCTTCCCTACCTGCCCTCTGCCATCTTCCCTTCCAGCCTTTCCTCATGCTCTCACATACTTTCTTGTGCCCTCTCTCACACCAACATGCAGGAACCCAAGGGGACTGATGAACTTGAGCTAATTCTCCTTCAGCTTGTCTTTGTCCTTGTTTTTTTTCCCTAGGCCCGACAGGAAGAGGTCAGGCGACGTTTCCGCCCTATTGAGGATCTGAAGAAGGACTTTGAAGCCTTGAATGTTGTCATTGAGAGTGACCTCCAGATTATGGTTCGGCTGATCAGCCAGTTCAACAGCTCCAGCACCACCCTGGAAGAGAAGATAATGGCTCTCTATGACCTGGAATATTATGTCCATCAGGTGAGGAAGCACAATGTATTGAATAGTAACCTCTGAAGTAGATTCCACAGTCTGTCCTGAATAGCCCTGTGTCGTTACTACTGACCAAGTACATAGCATGTTTTTATTCAGAAAGGTCAGAGACAAAGCTTTTGCACTTTCAAGTATGGCCTCCTTGCTCCTGGGGCTGTCATGGGGTATGCAAAGAGCTGGCCAAAAGGAAGTCACACTTAGGATATGTGATTATTTGTTTGAACATGTATAATCTGTATCAAAATGCTTGCTGTCTCAGAGAGGAGAGAAGGGAGGGAGAGCATTTAGAAATCTGCATTTTTTTAAAAGTTAATTTTACATGTAATTGGAAAAAAATACTATGTTTTTTAAAAAAAAGAAAGAAAAGATTGGCTTGAAATAATTAAGTGGAATTTGGAGGCATTTTCCACTGTTCTTTAACCTCCTTCGCTGTAACCGGTCCATCGCCAAAGCTTAATGTTCTCTCTCTTTGAAATATCAGGCACATCAGTGTTCTTTTCTCCACTTAAATGCTACTACCCTAGTTTATGTCCTTATCACCTGTTTAATTGTTCTTCAAATCTCTCCTTTTTCCAGTCTGTCCTTTACAACATCTACCTTCCATCTCCACCACTGAACACTCCCTTAGGAAAAAAAAAGGTTCTCACACTGACTGACAATGCAACTGTCTGACAACTCCTGCATGCAGTCTCCCACATCTCTAAGAAGAGAAGAGAGTGTGTTTCATCATCTATTCTTTTGGGAACTGGATTGGTCATTGCACTTAATCAGAGTTTGGTAGGCTTTTAGTGTTTATAGTCATTGAATATATATATATATATATATCCCAGAGATATCTCAAGCCCAAAAATTTCCAAAAGAGAACTCATCCTTCTTCCAAATTTTACTATAGTTTTGTCTTCCACGTCGTGGGGATTAGGGGCACAGTGCCCTCACAATCTGGAAAATCCTCATAAAACTTTTCAGCCCTCCCTTTGTGCCAGAGAAGAAGTCTGAATTATTATGGTATTAAAAGATAAAATTTGATGATATTGTGTAATACTGTATATATATTTTATGCATTTCTGAGTTTCTAAACTTTTTCTGTGTCATCTGTGACTTCCAAAAAACTCCCAAAAAATTCCCGTTTAATTTCTTATGCCCACCCATAATATATCAAAACCTCAGTGGGGAAAATAATGATGTAGATGGGATAACTGTTTTTCTATTGAAGGCACCATGATTGTTCAAGTTGCCCAGATTCCTAATCTTGTTTTCCTTCATTCCTTACTCTTCCTTGCTTCACATGTCTATTTCTTGCCGTTTCTACATTAACACTTGCATTTGACTCCTTTCTGCTCACCCTGTTGGCACTTTGATTCAGGCCAGCTCCTTCCTTGATCATTACAGTAGCCTTCTCATTGGTGTGCTGCTGCAGGGCTCCTTCTGAGTCGTCCTTTTCTTCCTAGAGCTACCAAAGTGATTTTCCTTAAGCACAGGTCTGATGATTTTACTCCCCTCCTCAGTAAGTTTAAGTGGGTATAAACTTTGTTTACCTTTTAAAATCCTTCATACCTTTCCCCTACCTGACTTTATGGCTTCATTGTGTGTTATTTCCACTCCACACTGGGTATCCAGCCAAACTCTCTTTCTTTCTCTCCTTCTTCTCTCTCCAACTCCCAGCTTTTTGTCTGCGCATAGACTTTTCTCCAAACCTGTAATATACTTCATTTTCCCTTCCTCCTCATAGAATCCTTCTTTCCCTTCAAGGCATAGCCTAAGCACTTCTTTCTACACCATTTCCCCATAACTCCCAATTTCCTTGTATTCTGCTACGTTGTATTCATTTATGTTTATTTGCTGTATATTTATTCTGAATACACTCATATCTACTTGTCTTCCCTTCTAGAATGTAAACTCCCCATAATTTGGGATTGCATTTTGTATCCCCAGCACCTATGACAGTCCCTTGCATACAGTAGATGTTTAGTAAATAAATACTTATTAATTATATACAGTTCTGCTGTTTCTACTTTCTTTGCTCTACTCTTATTCATAAAAGCTTTGCCATGTTTTTCTGAATTCCTTATGTTCATTTCATATAATAATGACCATTTTCCCAAAGAAGGCCAAACAGAAGTTGAAGGGAAACTCTGTAACAGGCCTGTGCAGCATATGGCCCATGGGCCTCTTGTGGCCTGCTAAAGGATTTTGGGTGGACCACAGAAAATGTAGAGGATGTAAAAGAAAGTAAAGATGTAATGAGTGCTTTGTCCATGCCCTGCTTAACCCACCTTCCATTAGTCACTGTTGTGCCTATCATGTAACTTGGTGGGTGGGTTGCCATTGTGCACTCTCACCTGTTTGTAATGTGACCTGTGGCAATCAACCATTGTCAGTCTGTCTCTAAAAACCTATATGTGGCCTGAAGAAGTTTAGCCTATTTTAATTTTGGCCCCTATCCATTGCCAAGCTGCACAGGTGTGCCCTGTAGCTCAGCCTGCTATCAGGGCTAAAAATCTATGGCCAAAGGGACATTGGGCTGTGTGCTGGAAAAACCTCAAGACCTTGGTTAAGAAGGATTTCCGAGGACATTGCTATTTCTGCTTGACTTTAACAGGATTAAGCTGGTGTGACAATTACATTATCTGAATATTACACCACTATTTGTTCAGCTATTCCCAAGTCTGTGGGTACCCTATTTGCAGTTTTTTGACTACCACGGGAAAAAATACTGCTACATAGATTTTGGTATATATGGAACTTTGTCATTGAATTTATTTGGGCATTTTCCAATTAATGGGATTATTGGTGCAAAAGGTATAAAGAATTTAGAGTGTTTTCTGACATGATTTCAAATAGTTTTCCAGAAAAGTTAGATCAATCCAATTCTTCCTTCAGTAGTGTTTTGATGTGCTGATTTCTTACCACATTGACTGTTTCTGTCCTTTCTCATGTTTGCCAGTGTGATGAATGTGAAGTGAAAACTTCAAATTTGCCTTTATTTGTTATTACCCATGCTGGGCCAGTTATGTGGTGTAGTGGATAGAGTGCCAGGCCTGTAGTCAAGAAGTCGTATCTTCCTGAATTCAAATCTAGCCTCAGATACTTACTAGCTGTGTGACCCTGGACAAGTCATTGAACACTGCCTCAGTTTCCTTATTTGTCAAATGAGCTGGAAAAGGAAATGAGGAACCACTCCAATATCCTTGCCAAGAAAACGCCAAATGGGGTCAGGAAGTGTCGCTCGCAACCGAAAAACGACTGAACAACAACAACAACATTGTGATTTGGAGTAGTTTTTTCATATAGTTGTTTACATTTCTTCTTTTGAAACTCTTTCTAGTCTGTGACAATGTAACTATTGTGAAATAACTCTTCTTCATATTATTATTGCAGCACTTTGTTCTTTTGTATTAATTTTCAGTTAGCTGCCATTTTGTCTTTTATACCTGCCTTTTTAGGGGGTGAGGGGTAGGAGACTAAGTAAAGTATTATTTTATTATATTGTAGTACCAATTTGCCATCTCAATACATGATCTTATTTAGCTATAAAATTTATTTTTCCATTTCTGTCTCTTAAGAAAAATGTTTTACTGATTCTTTTTGCTGTGTTTCATTTTGTTTTATATTTGTGTCAGTTTCCAATAACCATCTCTCCTCAGAGTCCATTTTCTTATAACAAAGCAAGCAAAACTAACATAGCAGTGAAAACTGATGGCATATGGGACAGTCTATCCTTCTGTGGAAAGGAGGGAGAGTGTTTAATCATCATTTTCCTGGAATTAAGTTAAGATACTGTGAATAATCTGAATTTTCTTTCTTTTTTATTGTTTCTTTTGACGTTATTATAATCCTTTTACATACAGTTCTCGTTTCATCCTTCTACATTTTCCACTATTTGATATAAGTCTTTCAGTGTTTCTCTGAATTCCTCATTTTTACATTTTTGTGTGTGTGGTAATAGTCTGTTATGTTTATATACTGTGATTTGATCTGTTGTTTACTAGTTATTTGGAAACTGTTTTTGGCTTTTATCAGGAAGATTGCTATGAATATTTTGGTGTATATGGGACCTTTCTGTCTGTCATTTTACCTCCTTGGAATATAGGCTTAGTAATACTATTGCCCAGGTCAAAGTTGTACATATTTGTAATTTTAAGCTGGTTGTGAAATTCTCTTTATGTTCACTTATCTTCCTTGAGGCCTTTTCATCCCTCTCTAAAATCATTTCTGTTTCTATCTTTAGAATTTCTTTCTTGGGAGCTATCTATACTTCTACTGACTCTCTTCTGGAAAGATCATGGCTTGATCCCTTTAAAATGAGGATACATGTCAGACTGACTGAATTTCCTCTTCTTTCTAACCATTAACTCTAAGATGGAGTGAGTGACCATTTTCTAATCTCCAAGGTTAACCATAATTTCTGCTTTGGCATTCATTTTTTCCTTGCCCAGGCTCAGGTCCAGGTTAGCAGCAACCTGGTTGTTTCCTTTATCTCTTGAATGATGAAATTATTATCCTTTCCTCTGGCTGTTGTTCTGTCTTTGCTTGTTTCATATCTCTCTACCTTTAATCCTTTTTGCTGATTTTTTTTTAATAAAAGGAGAGTAGAAGCAAGCCGCATTGAATTTACTTTTGCCTCTTCCAAATTAACTTTGGGAAAAACACAATATTTAGGATTTTTATTATTCAGGGGCAGAATAATCCTTGCTCCACCCTCTCTCACAGGGTTGGTTTGAGGATAAAAATGAGCGTATACAAATATGAGCAGTTTTGACAATCTTGAGTTTATTTTAGTCAGTAGTAAATTTGGTGACCCTTTCTGAGATAGACCCTCTCATAGAGGGTGGTGGTTGTCGTCGTTGTTGTTGTTAGTTTAAAACAAAGGTAGCAGCTGCCCTACAAACAGACTGCCAAAAATGTAAACCTATTTAGGGGAGGTAATAAGGACCAAATGAGATTACGTAGGTGAACTTTTGCAAACCTTAAAGCACCCTACAAATATA